TTAATTATTTATAAAAAGAATTCCTAATTCAATTGGTTATAATAATATGATAAGTAATCTTAAAAGTGAAATTATTATCATATTTTAAATTGTTAATGTCACATTTATTTAATGTAATTATCTATTATATCTTTATATAATACTTTATCTTAAAGATTTATATTTTTTTGTTTTTAATAATTAAAAAATATAATAATCAATTAAAATAAAAAATATAATATTAATAATTAAAAATATATCAATAACATCACCATAATCTTAATCACTTCCTACTATATGTGGTGCAGAATTAATCGATGAGGGAAGGACTAAAAGCGTATTTGTTGCTGTGATCATAATAGGTGTAGTTTGGTCAGGGTTACATAATTTATTGTTATTTTATTTATTTATAATTTTTTAAAATAATAATCATTATATTTAAAAATATTTATTTATATATTAATTTTAATATATTAAATAATAAAAATAAATTATTTTATTAATTATTAATGATTTTAATAATTAAATCAAAATTAGAATTGAACCTGGCCTTCGGGCCAAGTGACTGTAACCACATTTGTAAAGTTCATGTCCCTCTCCCCAGTATAACGGTTCGAGCCGACTCTATGACAAAATATTAAAAAAAAAAAAATCAAAATTAGAATTTAAGAATAATAAACCTTTCACAACTTTCAGTGTCGCAATAACGATAGTTGTCTAGTAACCAGATAACCATAGTTGTCTTTGTCAGGCATAAAGTTACGTGGGCCAGGCAAATTCAACAGAAAATGGGTACGCATGCAGACGAGTTATCACCATCTATAATTCTTTACCACATGAGTCATTATTGGGGTGGTGTTATTGCCACAGCCACTAGTGTTAATACCACAGCTTTTTAAAATTATTTGACTATTATACCCCTCATTTGAATCCAACTTGCAGCAGTCACCACCTTCTCCGCGTGGGTTAATGGTCAATTAATTAAAAAAGCTGTGGTGTTAACCTGTGAAGCTGTGGCAATAACACCACCCTCATTATTGTGCTCATTGGGAGATGACCTTTTCAAAATCGTAGTCGTG